GCAGCAGTGGGCACAGGTATAACAGAGACTGAAAGCATGCTGCAGGATGTGAAGACCAGCATGAGCAGAGCTGACCAGCGGGCATCTAACATAAACGGAAGCTTTAGAAACTTTGAGATTTAATATATTCACTTGGTCTAACCCATTACGATGTATAAAGTCAATAATACAAGAATAAAAATGTAATGCACACCCATGTTTACTGCGACTTTGCTCACAACAGCAAAGAGTTGGAAACAACTCAAGTGCCCACAAACAAACAATGAATGGCTAGAGAAGCTCTGGTATATTCACACAATGGAATCCTACGTTGCACTGAAAAAGAAGGAACTCATGAAATATTATACAAAATGGGTCACCCTGGAGGACATTATGCTGAGTGAAATATCTGTCACAAAAGGACAGATATTGCATAATGCCACTGTTGTAAAACGGGACTGACATCGGGGTTAAGGGGAGACTGAGAAAGAGGGGATAAATAATGTATACTACATTGAAACAGATGGGGGAAGAGAACTGTTTAAAAGAGATGATTAGGTATTATTGTTATGACAGGAGTACAGAATGAAGGCTACGCAGCAGAGTGGACTTGGGGGTAAGAGATTGTAGACCAATGAAAGAATTTTTCTTTTACTTTTCCAAGAGAAGAGCGAATTGAGGCAGAGGGAGTGGGCGGGGAGAAAAGTGCAACAATGAATGGAAACCTTAAATCTTTGTAAACTTCCATTAAATTTAAAAAAAAAAAAACTTAAAAAAAAAATGTAGTTATTTCCACTATTTGCTACAATAATGTCCAGAAAGAAAATGTTAAAAAAAAAGTTAAAAAAAAATTCAGAATATATTCATAAACAAAACTTCAAAATACTTCTATCATTTTTCTTTTTCGTTATTATTTTTTTTACATTTCAAATTTACTTAATTATTCCATACAAAAAAATTACCTAATCATAAATACAAAGCTTAATGAAGTCTCACAAAGTGATTCTCTTGTCTTGCTTAGTGGGTGAGGAGTAATACTGGCCACACAAACGCATACGTTTGGAATAACCCTACTGCTGCTGGAGAAAGATGGGCAATCCCCTCTAGTGAGATAGACAGCCTTTGAAAACCCACTGGAGGATCAGCTACGAATGGTTCCAACACCATGGCAACGAGGTTTATAGTTACCAGAACTTAACTCTTAAAGTGACAAAAATGTTAAAATGAAATGCTAAAACCAACCAGTCATAGTAGTAAGCATAATACACAACCACCCCACCCCACCCTTTCTGCTTTAGAAGCAAGAGAAAGGGCATTATCTCAACCTGATAATCCCCGACACCGGGTTCTTTTACTGCCCCTTTTTTCCTGTGTGTGTAGCTCTAAGATTTCAAAGACAATAGCAGAAAAACAGACGTTGCGGAAACTATAGACTGAATAACAATGTTCTGTTCTTCCTTCTTGATCTACAACTTTGTAATGCTTCTCATAAATTGTGACCTTACTTGGTTTCAAGTTTACTTGAGAGTTCAAAATCGACTTTTCAGCTTGCAAAAGGTGTCTTCTTTGACTAGTTAAAATGGACCATTGTGCGGAGGCGCTAAATTCCGTGTCTAACTGGAGCAAAAATAATTAAGACAGTTCATTTTGTAAAGATTTTCTCAGCTTCAGGCCCTGGAGTGGCATCCACTTCCTAAGCAACAGTGCCTCTGGAAACTATGAACTCTGATTAAATGTCGATAGTTGTAGAAGGGCTTCAGGCCTTTTGTTCATAGGGTCGCTATGAGTCGTGCTCGACTCGAAGGCAACCAACAAGAAGAGGATTAAGTTTGTAAGTTCGTGAAATTAATCTTTGTTAACGTTTTCTTTTTTCAGCCATTTCTTTAGCCCACAAGCGTCTTCTGAGAAACCACCCAACAGTTAATAAAGGTTGGTATTTATCGGGTTCGGAATTTACAAGTTATTTGGCCCTGAGATTAGCAACAATAAGGTCTCTCCCAGCAAGGAATTTACAAAGCGCAAGGCCCCTTGACTCCCAATGATGCAACAAAGATCCACCAGACTCAGCAACGTTCCTAAGCGGCAGGGACGCCGGCTCGGACTGCACGTCTCCGGCGAGCACCGATGCGGGGTGTTCGGAGCAGGGGCAGAGGGTCCGGGAGCGCCCACCTGGGGTGCCGGCCGGGACCTGCGCGCCTTTCCGCCAGCCGCACCATCACAAAGCGCATTCCGTCACCAAGGCAACTGTGCAACCCGACACCGACGCGCAAGCGCCCACATCCCGGACCATCGTGCCTCGAGGACCACGACGTGGCCGGGCCGCCGCCGCAGGTGCTGTTCCGGGGCGCAGAGGACGACCGAGGTGATGCCCCCGGGCCCGCACCATCCACCCGGCGCCGCCACCCCGGTGCGGGCGCAGCGGCTCCGCGGCACGTGGCAGCCGTGATTTTCCCATAGTGGTATCCCTCCGCGCCCCTGCTCCAGCCCCGCCTTCTCTTTCGGGACCCTCGGTGTCCGGGAGCCGCGGAAGGATCGCACGTACGCGCACACGCTCCGCCGAGGCCGCGGCGCGCTCCGGGAGCTGCGCTCGAGGGAGCGGCGGAGACGACCGGAGCCGC